GCTCGTAAAAGGAGATTACCATTCGAAGAGGAACATGATCAAGCAAAAACAAAGCGATTGTTCGAGTTAGAAAACGCCACAGTAGAATAAGACATGAGTTTTGCCTCATTTCTGTGAAAATGGGCCAGATTACGGGCCAGAGAATATCGAACCGATGAACGAAGGGAAGCCAGGAAAAAATGAAATTTCAATTTCGACGTTGTGAGAAAAACTCCTAAAGTACATAAAAGTAAATTCATAATTAACATTCCTTTTCAAAGCAGATGCTTCTACGAGCCTACAACGTAAAGTGTGATACTACCAACTAAAAAAAAAATATTATTTGGAATGTTCAATGCCCTAGAATCGTGTGCACCGAGGATTATGTTGTGGAATTAAAAGCAATTGAAAAAGCAGAGAACGAAGGAATTATAAGGACAACACGATTCATGAACAACGAATAAAGCCTATTGGTGGATCAAAACAAAATAGGATTAAAACGACTGGGATAAAACAGAATCAAAAATCAAAATATTAGCAGCCAAAAACTCCTTTTTGCACCAAGTATTTTCGACAGGAGGAAGCATGCAGAGCTAGTTTCAGTAGCGGCAAGTGCGAAAAATAACTAAACTCTGTCAAAACTGTCAACTGCTCCATCCGAGAGTTGTTTAAAAACAATCTGATGGCGGGTTTGACTCCCTGGCATGTGAAAGCACGAATTTATCATCGAAACGAATGAATATAATTCAAATAGATTAGCTATCTCGCTGGCAGAGACAAACCTCCGGCCTCCAGCAATGCAGCAGTGTCGTTAGCCAGTGAGATGTACTTGATATCAAAAAAAAAAGAACAAAATGCTTCTTTGAGTAAAATAATTTGATGTATTATAACTTACAGATAAAAGCTGCTGTGGTTTTGATATTTTGCAGTGTTCAAAGGTTTGGCTGATATCATTTTTAACCGTCTTCCCAAACTCATCCAAATTAGCAGAAGCATCTTCGAATGATACGGCGAATGGGCCATCGCTTTCTGAATTTTATCAAAGCATCAGTGCAGCATGAAGGCCCACGTAGGAAGCATTATATGTGAAGAAGTCGTCAATGCTAACGTGCCACCCGTTTCATCACGAGGTCACTTACATGGAGAGGCAATTGAATGCTGTGAGATTTATTTGCGCTCCGCCTCGTTAAACTACGAACGGTCAAGGGATTTTATAGTGTGAATTTCACACTTTTCATTGGGACAATTCAGTTGCAAACAGTTACGTAAAAAAGGTATGGAACAAGCTTACCTTGACCAACATCATCATGACAAGCGAAGGGCACTGGCGATGTGCATGATCCTTTCGATATCGAAAATTTGACCACAGGCAATTCTTAATGAATTCATGAAAACGATGAGTAAGTTTGCGATTTCTTGTTTTTTTTTTTTGCACTAACAGCAATTCATCGCTATTTGCTTACCGGTCCCACACAGTTAACAGCGGGAAGGATAACTGCAGTGCTTAGTATCCTGGCTAAACAAACCACGCTGAATCCACTGCAATAACTATTCCATTTCTTCCCAAAGTGTGCGCCATCATGACTACTGCAATCTCTTCGCTCTCTGAATCATGCTAAAAGTCAAAACCATCTCCGCATTCACTCCATATCAACAAGCAGAGGCATTCGGGAAGAAGCTCGAGCGGTATTAAAAACAACAACGCTGACCGGCTATCGACGGATCTTTCTTTCAAGGACTGATTAGAAGCACCTAATGGCGGATTTGACTCCTTGGTATCAGCCAATACCATTTTACTATCCAAACGTATGAACGAATTGCATAAGGATTGTTTGTATTACCGGCGAAACTGAATTCACGACCCACCACACGAATGCTAATTTCTCACCTTATCATACTCGTCAGGCACGGATCAAGTATTTTTTTTAAATTTTTAAATAATTCGCAAGATCACATTTTCCCCTATCCATGTTTCTATCCGATTTTTGGTAACGAGCGAAAGTGGAATAGAAACACAGATAGGGGAAAATGGGATCTTCCGATTTAAAAAAGCATTTTTATAATTTTTCGAAGCATATACTGCCCTGCACGCACGCAGTGGTAGCAGCGGCATCCTTGCTGGCACATAAAGCCACAAAAACGTGAAAAAGTATATGCTTCGATTCTTCAAAGCACCCACAGTTTGAGTGATGTGCAAATACAGGAAGTCTTTTAACAGAACTTTTTTTTATAAATTACAGCATAACTACGATGAGCAATTAGAATCCTCAAAAGTGGCTCTTCAGCTAAGACATTCGGAAAAATCTGTTTTTAAAGAAAAATCAAAAAAAAAATCGCCTCTATTGTCAAGGAAGTATTCTTAGTGGAAAATGTTGCGTATGCAGACACAAAACAGAATGAAGCACAGATTTTGAGTGGACACTGCAACCTTAACTGACCAGTGGGCATACTTTTTCACTGTTTGCCAGTCTTCTGCTATGCCCGTTAACCTTATTTTCATAAAAAATGTATTATTTGAAGCATTTGAAGCATTCTGTTCTGCAGAAGCTCAATTCGGACAAAAGACATTTGCGATTTTTAACAAAAACCAGAAATTACACTAAATTCAAAAGAACGCGGCAATACCACAGAACAGTGAAAAAAACTGTAATAAATTTAGCTGATAAAAAGGAAAAGTGAATTTTCTGCAGTTTTTGATGTGCAACGATC